TTATTTTTTTTTTTTTTTTTTTTTTTTTGGGAGCATCAGTCCGGTTCCTATTCCACCGGCAAGTCAGGAAAATAAATACATCAAGGAATACCCTCACACTTCCTTCCGTCTGGCCGAAGGAACCCTGATCAACATTGATAAACCCTAAACCCCGCAGAAGCGCCTCATGAAATCTCTAGCCTTCTACCCCCTGCTTATCTTGTTTCTGCCCATACCCTAACCCTAAGCCCTAGACAAACTTAATCTATTTTTCCATCTCTTCCATGTGAAACCTCGACTGCCGCCTGCCATGCGTGTATCTTGGATGCTCATCTAGGCCCAGATTGGAGATGGTTCTTCGTGTACCTGGGTATTCAGCTGGCCTACAGACTTGACAGAATGGTGCCACTCTTTCCATCTTAAAACGTGCCCATTTAGCCAAGCCACTTTGTCACCTACCAACCAGACCCGTTTGAATTTGGCAAGTGTCCCCTGTTCTGTCTCTGGACTGTTTTGCACCTGGAGTTTAACACTTCTCCCTTGACTGAGGATTTCCGCTTCAATCATCTCTTTGGTTGCTGCCCAAACTTTCTCCCGTGGGTTCTTCGTGCCATCCAGTGTTCTGCTGCATCTCTCCTTCCATATGGCCCATAGCGTGACCTTGCACACCATCCTGAACCAGATTTTCTCTGATTTGCCGAAGTTAGAGGGTAAGTTAGTCCATAGGAGCAGTTGAAGGGGGTGCTCTGGGAGGGGAGGTGAAAATAGACTATCCCATAGTGCTGCTGCTCTTGCCCAATACTCTGTGGCTTCCTTACAGTTAATTAGGCAATGTATCACATCTTCCTGTTGTTGATCAGAGCAGATTGTACAGACATCAGAGCTGGTTGGATCGTTCTTTCTTCTTCTGACATGTAGCCACTGGTTAACCGGTAGAGCCACGTAGGTTATGAGCCATTGCATGCTTCTGATTTTTATAGGTCTTATCGTTTTGTATTTCTTCCATGGACTTTTGCTATCTGGTCTGCCTCAGAACCAATTAACTTGCCCCATCTTCCTTTGATTGTTGGGTCCGGGCCCTTTGTTTTTAAGAGCATCTTGTAACCCAGCTGAACTGTATAATCATATATTGGAATTGGTGGTTTGGCCATTCTATTTCTTTCTGGGCGCCATGCCCATTCTGATGGGTCGAACTCCAGGTCTTGAACTGCCGTGTTTATTTGGAAGATTAGTATTGGCCAGAGACCTAACGTCCTTATTTTCCGCAGCGTGAACGCATTCAGCACTGCTCTTTCAGGATTGATGTTCTGAATGTACTGTTCATCTGGCTTAGTCCTCAAAATTGGGAAGGAGGTAAATACATCCCTTGGACCGGGTGTGGACTCCCGGTGGGAAACTTGGTAGGCTCCAACTGGGGAGGATTCTTGGAACAGGACTCCCCACTCGCCTGGCTTCCATGTGAACTCTTCCCTTAGAATATCTATCCAGCTACTCGGGATGCTCTGTATTATCCTTTGAAGGTTTTCGTCCCTGTGATGACAGCCTTTCAAGCGGGTCTTGAGGTCAGTCTCATCCAGCCAGCTTTTCTTATCCTCACTCCATATGTCCCCTACTCGCCAAACACCCTGTTTGATCCAGGATAGCCATCTGTTGCCTCTGCTGGACAAAGTCCATGGGTGGTCCCCTTCGTCTTTAATCCACGGATTACCAAAGAGAGGCTGCCTGAACACTTCTTCTTTGGACCTTGGTTTACCTAGTTTTTCTGGCATGATCTCCCTCCAGATCCGTAACAGAGCAGCCCAGTAAGGTTGAGAGGACTGGGTGGGGGCTAGTCTCCCTTGGCTTCTTTGACCTTTAGGGGTCCAGTCTTTGTTCATCACCCAGAAAAGTCCGGACATATTTTGGGGGGAACCAATTGAGGCCAGGTTTCGAATACTGTTTTGTGCTAGCTTGTTCCAGGGCAAAGACTGTTTAGACAGAAGCTGGACTACCCACTTGATTTGGAGGGCTTTCGTCTCTTGTCTGGGATCTATGATACCCAGTCCTCCCTGGGTTGGTTTCCTTGTGATAAAGTGCCAGGCTATCTTAGGGATGTAATTCTCTCTATTTGGGTCACATGCCCACAAATAGGCTCTAGCTTTCCTATTCAGGTCTTTGATTGTCTAGTCTGGTATAGTCCAGATCAAGGCAATGTACCACATCATTGAAAATATGGAAGTGTTAATGGTGAGTGCTCTGCCCAATATTGAGGTGAATGCTTGACTCCATTTCCCCATTTTATTAATTTGGATGGTTAGGAGGTTTCGTGCCATCTGAGGTGTTGGGCCTTCTTTCATTACTTGGATTCCCAGATATCTCATTGGCAACTTTGGCCTTTCCCATGACATCTGGCTCTCCGGACTTTGGAGATGTGGCACCGGTTCATCTAAAAGCCACCAACCTATCGTCTTGCCCCAATTTATCTTCATTTTCGAGGCTAGTCTGAAGGCTTCCATTACCCTGACTAGGGCAGCCATTCATGAGTTGGAGGCTCTGATTAGGACCGTTAAATCATCCGCGAACATGATTACTGTAGGAAAATGTATTTTGTGCGCAGAACCCACGTTCATTTCTGACAGCCTTTGGATAGAAGGGTCCTTACAGAGAAAGGAGGCTATGGCTTCCATTACGAAGAGGAAGATAAGCGGAGCTAATGGGTCGCCTTGTCTTACTGATCTGGAGATTGGGTAGCCTTTGGAGAGGAGGCCGTTGATCTGAACACAGTTGGAGGCATTGTTGTACAAAACACGCACCCATTTCCTGAAGTTGGGACCTACTCCCATTCTTTCCATACTCGCATCTAGGAAGTCCTAGTTTACCACCCATTTCCTGAAGTTGGGACCTACTCCCATTCTTTCCATACTCGCATCTAGGAAGTCTCAGTTTACCTGGTCGTAGGCCTTTTCGAAGTCGAAGAAGAGAATCACTGTCCTAATTTTCGTGTCTAAAACTTTCTTAGAGGCTTCGTTGAGGGTCATTACGTTATCTAGGATGTATCCTCCTGGTATGAATCCAGACTGGTCTATGCAAAAACACTTGTCTGTTACGTCCAGTGTGCGTTATGCTAGTGCCTTAGCCAATATTTTATAGGGGAGTGTGAGAAGAGAAATTGGTTTGTAGTTCTTGATGTCTTTCCGGTCGCCTTTCTTATAGAGTAATGTGACCACACTGGGGCTAAGG